TCCTCATCCTCTTCACCATCTTTGTGAAGCCGTCCTAGTCGCATTGATCCGTCTGCCTCTGTGGTTTCGCAAGATCAGAGACAGGCACACGGGGATTGGTTTTACTCTTAGCCGATTGCCGATTCTCGAGTTTCGAAGTGGCGGGTCGGCTAATGCGTTGGGCAAGATGGCTGCCGGCCCTAGAGTTTCCCAGACAGTCTATTAATTTTTTGGATAAAAACCATTATTGTAATTCAATTTATTGAACATCAGGATGTTTGTGAAGTTACTCCACTAGTTTGCTATAGTTATTAATACAAAGATTGAACACTTACAAAAAACTCCTTCGATCCGGTTGGATGCGAACCAACGTCTTCAAGCAAACCGTGTCATGCGCTATGCCAACTAAGCCACGGAACGAACCAGCGGACCTGACTAATTTTTCATAAAGAAAATACTATTCTTCTTAACACATTACGTTTTTATAAATGTACTGTGACGCTAGTGTAAGAATGTAACTTGTTTAAACCTATCGTACCGTCGATCACTCACTTACAGCAACCACCGCGTAAATGTTAAACTATTTTAAATTCAACATGTCACCAATTCCCATAAATAAAAGCCCTTCACTGCACCCTAAGGGCTGATGATTAAAATCAAATTGCACTGCAAGGTTTTCTATTATGACAGCGTAATCAATCATTTCCCCTACCTTATGCGTTGTATTTGAAAGCACAAGCGTTTGGGACCCTGAAGGGTCCCACTCTTTGGAAAAGTTATATTCATAATGTATTGATACTACCGTACATAATATAGTATGCATTAACAATTAATAACTCATTTATTCTTGAAATCACTGTTTGAATGTAAGTTACAGGTAGATGAGACTTGTCAACTTATGTCCTCAAAGCAGGGGTCGGCAACCTTTTGGGTTGGAAGAGCCAAATATTACAATTTGCAAATTTTCACAGTTTTTAAAGAGCCACTAAAATTTTTCTTGCCAATATTATAGTACTTACTTATTTATATAAAGGTATTTGATTTTGGTTTAAAATAAAAAACTTAAAAATAAGAAATAATATATATTTATTCATACTTAGTATTTTTTTACAACAAATGAAAGTATTTAACTACAAAATTAAAATAATTATATAATACAACTACAGAATTGAGTAGTAAATCAATGAGAGCATTGGCTTTGCATGCCTTTTGAAAGTTGGGCAAATTTGGCTCATAACAAGTTGTTTTTAACGACTTCAAAAAAAGGAGGACGTTCTCAATTGGACTATATGTTTTTTTATATGTATGTTACGCGATAACTCGTATTTGTGACTCGTAACGCGATTTGTGAACCGATTTTCATGATTCTTTTTCTTGGAAAGAAGGTGCCTTTGATGTGGTACCATTTAAATTTAAAGAAAATTTTCCACCTCTAAGGGTAGCAAATGGCTTTTGAGGTCGGTTTTTTAACCGACATCAAACAATGGAGGAGGTTCTCAATTCGACTGTATGTTTTTTTTAAAGGGCATCTATCCTTTTTAGTATTTTCATCGTGTGGCGTCTATCCATATAGGTAGATATCTATCCTCAAAAAAATAGGTTTTCAAAAAGTCAATTTCTTCAAAATCAGTAAATATTAGATCAATAAAATCAAGTCTAAGGGTCGTATTCTAGAACTCTATTCAATGCTCAAGTCAGGATTGCACTGGCAACACAAGCACTGGAAATACGACCCTAATGACAGGGACTTGAGTATGATTTCGAGTGCTTTAAACCATACTCAAATCCTGACTTGAGCATTGAGTAGAGTTCTAGAATACGACCCTTAATGTAATGTAAAAGATTAAACTGGTTATATCCATAGTAATTATTCATGGTAAACTAATAATTTTTGAATTAGGAGACCTTTTCAAAAAGTGGGGCAGTTCTAACCCGGTTTTACCCAAACGGCGATATTTGTTATTCTGCAAAAATCTAGTTGCAATCACAGTTGAGTCCCAATAAAATGTCAGTGGAATTGCTAAAATAGCATTCATACACTCAATCACTAACGATCGATGTTGCCTTACTAAAACCATGAAAATCAGCAATTTAGTCTATAATTTAAACAATAATAATTTTAGTAATACTCTTTGTCATCGACTCGCCATTGAAGAGCACAACACTAAAAAATTTCAATAGCAGGTACAGACTAGCCACTGAGAATCCTTTACTCTTAACTTTTAAGCTTGAAACATGCAGAGAGCGGGTGTGGGTCGGGCGTGTGTCGGGTCGGGACGGGTGCAGGTCGGGCGTGAGTCGGGTCGGGACGGGTGCAGGTCGGGCGTGCGTCGGGTCGGGACGGGAGCGAGACGAGTGCGGGTCGGGCACACCCGCTCTCTCTGTTTCACGCTTTGGCAAACCATCAAATGTACAAAATCTTGACATTCACATTCTAACAACACACAATTGAGATAATATAAAATTACCAGACTTAGTGCTCTGAGCGTCACTGCAAATAAAGAGAGACGTGTCGCTTACCACCAGTCGCGCGGCATGTTCGACCTATCATGTTATGATAAAAAACAGTCATTTCGTGTGTAGAATCTTTAAACTTCTCTCCTGAAAGTTGTCATTTTACAGATGTTACCTTATTACACCAAGAGTGCTGTGTCATCCACAACAAGACCTTATAGACCGTGGTTGGTCGTCTATTCTAGATAAAAATCATTTTCGCTGTATTAACATTAATATTGTTGCTGGTAACTTTGATACAATGTTTTTTGTGATCTTATTAAAGGCAACAACCCTTGTCCAACAAAATTATCTCCTATATTTATTGTTATTCAAGCCGGCAAACAGACGACACACGGTCCATTGTCCCGTAATTGTGTATGGTATTCTATTGTGGAACAATTCATGTGACACTGATAGTGTTCTAATTTCTCAAAAGCGAGCGTAACGCTTGATTAATTTGCAACACTCGCAATTTGACGCTGATATCTCTGAAATTGAACTTATTGGCTGTTTCGTGCGTATGCCTTTTTAAAAACAAAACCTTTGTTATAATTATTAATACAAAGATCGAACACTCAGAAAAAATTCCTTCGATTCGGTCGAATTCGAACCGACGTCTTCTTGCATACCGTGCCAGAGGCTATACCAACTAAGCTACGGCCAAAAAGTCGTTGAAAGACCAAGTACAAAGACACGACGCAAGCACATGGAAAAATTCGTGAGGTCCGTTGGTTCGTTCCGTTGCTTAGTTGGTCAATAAAAATTTAATTAACAAAACTTTTGTTCAAAGCTTCCGACACGAAGTTCCCGGATATACGTACTGCCAATTTACCTATTTCTGCCGCCAAGCAGTAATGTGAACATTACTCCGTGTCAGTTTTGAAGGGTAAAGGTGCTTGTGTATTTATAAGCACATGGGACTTGCCAACTTATGTTTCAAAGCACAGTGGCAGTGATGGCAATTTGTGATTTAAAACGCCGACTGGCTATTCAACTGTTATGGACAGGCGCACGGCTTGTTCGTTTCAATTTCATATTAATTGTGTAGAGCATTACCCATCTGACTTCTTTCTGGGAGTACATACCTTTAGATTAGTTACTTTGTCAGTTAATTTGGTAACAAAACCGATTGCTTTCAATACTGGTGTCACTCAAGTCTACATATTGGTACCATGTTTGTTTATTTGTTATAACTACAAACCAATGGTCGATATAAATGACGACATTTTACTTTTGAACCCTGAAATGATGATATTAATATTAATTTCCGACTTCAATGTTCTTGTTCTCATTACAAAAGAAACAGTTGTTTAAATTTCCGCAACATGGCGCAGGTACAGTTAACTTGTCAACCTTTTCAATCATCCATTAAGACCACATGTCATTCCGAAATAGACACAAACCACGAGTTGACAATGGATCGACATCGACACGAATATCGTGTGAACAACACGTATCGGGTTCCCATAAACAAAATTCAATACGACCTTACGTAATTAGAGCGCTACTGTTTCTGAGATCCCAATAAAAACAACCAATCACAGAGCTAGAACTAAATTGAGACTTTGATTAGGAGGACAAATTCAGCGATTGCCTCGGCTTGGCTATTAAGTTCCCCAAACATCACATGAAAAGATTCAATTCACAATTTAAACCAATTTAGGCAACGAAGTACTAAATTAGGCCAGTATTGGGTTTTCTAAAAAGGGCGCCCCCAATTTGGAAATTCTTTTACTCGTAAATGCGGAGAATTCCCTAGTTTGAGACCTGGAAATTGGTGTAATTGTTTGCCGCGCTTATTAATTTCTTTTCCACAATTTCACACCTCGAAAAAACCGCGTATAAATTTTCATACCAATTTAATAGCAAAGCCGACGTTTTTCCTGACTGATATTTAATTTACGGTAGGCCTTTAATCCTTAAATGACGATAAAGTTAAATGAGTTACGGTCTGATTATTAAAATGGATTCGAATTAATTAAATTGGTCATAAAAAAGTGTGAGCCGGCATTATGGGTGCTGACGTGGGTCTCGGTTTCGATTTCCAGTGGGACCGATTATAAAAACGTGACATTTGAAATTACATTTAGATTCTTTAGGTTATAAATAGAATACTGACAGTAACACATCCATGAACCACCGTAAAATGAAACATCAGAATTCATGGTACGAGGTACCCCGTTTCGTTATACGGATCTCAAAAACCAACTACGGGATTTCTGTGTTTTTTTTTAATATCAAGTGTCCCGAACAAGTCGCACGAAGAATTAGAAATCAATGAATAAATTAATGAAATATTCTTTATTGTGCATAAAATTACCGTTAAAATAGAATATAGTAACTTAAGTATAAAAATAGTAGATTCATGTGCAACAGGCGGCCTTGTTGCTACGTAGAAATTTCTTCCGGGCAACCTTAGGATTTAAATTTGGGATATTCAAAAGGGGTGCAACCAAAGAATATCATTATAAGTATACTACATTGAATTACAATGATTATTTACTAAATTCTTATCTTGTCCTCAGCACCCCCAACGTCATTGGAGATAGTGAACCACCCACACAACTCAAAGCTGGAGGTTAAAGAGGGGGAGGAAGTCACCCTCGAGTGTCAAGCCAAGAACGCCAAACCTGCTGCTAAAATCATCTGGTACAGAGGGAATGTCGAGCTCAAAGGTGATAAAGGTGAGTTGGTACACCCTCTTGTATAATTTATGTTTTGTACCCTTTCGAGTAGAAATAATGGCAGTAACGTAAATTACGTATTGTGAGCTGGTTCCTCATACTTAGAACATTTGTAACTATCATGCTTCAGTGTACTTTTACCAAAAACTTAATACTGACGAAATAAAATAATCTATTTCATAGGCAAATTACACTTATACAACGGGTTGCTTTATGTAAATAAACATTTGTATACGTTTATCATTTACAATATTTATATGAAATATGATAGATCGACACTACCTGCTAGACCTAAACGAGTCATTACCGCGGAATTTTCTCATCCAAGTACGCTGAAGCTTTGTAATAAGTTGGTATTTTGATTGTTAACGGTTATCAATAGACGACGAAGCTGCAGAGCCTTGAACACCGCCGTAAAGTTGCCTGCTTATCGGTATTTTACAGGGTATATCACGGAGAGTGTGCTATAGAACTACATGGTTTAATTCCGCCTTCCCCTTTCCATCACCGGGGGACTAGGCGTAGGCTTGGGTTCCACCCTTATGTTGTGGATATTCCAAAGATTCGCACGAAGCGTTACGCTTCCACATTTATATATACAATAAGTAATATATATACGAAAGGCTATTGCAAGAATTGCCTATGGTTCACCCAGGTGAACCAGGTGGTCCACGGGTAAGAAGCGAAAACAAAAAAAATATATGAAAGTTTATTTACTTGCATGATACGGAAGTACTTTCTTTAGCTCTTTCTAGTGGTTTCTATGAACAAACATTAAATAAAATTTAACTTAAAGTTTGATTACATTACAGTCGGTATAAGCCTCACCTCGGGGTTGAAAACAACATATTAAATAATTAAATACTTAAGTCAAAAGGCTACCGTATTTAACTCAGACATACTTTTACAAAAAGTACTGAGTTTAGGCAAAACAAAAAGAAGTAATAAAACGAAAATTAACTTACTAATGACTAAAACGAAATTACTGTGCTTGTGTTCGTTTAAAAGATGTTTATTTGACATATGCCTTGAGTTTCCTACTTATTGTTCTCAGGGGAATATGCTGGGGAATGTTTACTGTCATTCTTCCGTTCCATTCCCTAACTGATTTATTGAATTTATAAACGGAATTATTCCATTTAGTCTTCAGCTTGTGACATCCATCTGCTGCCAGCAGCCTTTCGCAGGTCGTCGCTCCATCTGGGGGTCGATTCAGAACGTTACGATAAGTCAGTTGTCGGCCGATTTCTTTTCAATTTTATTCGCCACACCGAAATCGAACGTCAAACCGAAAAGAAACCTGCATGACTTCACACCCTACATCATCACGGCTACAAACATTATTCAGAACATAGTTATCGAATTAAAGTTACAGAACGTTTTATTGCATAAAGCAAAATTGTAAGATGGAAATCTCTTATTATTTTAAATAAAGTCTGGATTGTGTTCAATTTTATTAATTTATTTTAATGCAACACTAATGTATATTATAATGTATATATTTTAGGCCTTTAAAGTCTTAAAAATGTATACAAAAGGATTTTCATTTTTCTTATAATCTATTTCACCGAGTAACTCCGTAAACGCTGTTGGATAACGATGTCATATCCGAATCCGAATGGAGCGTTTAACTTGGAACGTTCTAAAGAACTCGGAATGCGCCCTTCGATTCGAGAACGATATCCAATACGAACGATATCGAAAAGTTCTGAATCGGGGTCCTAAGCAGAGAGCGTCCTACAGTACGTTTGCCGTGGTCTCCACTCAAGAACTCGCTTCCTCCATCGGTTATCGGTTCTTCGACAGATACGGCCAACCCGCTGCCACTTCAGCTTGCTTATTCTACCAGCTATATCGTAGACCTTGATTCTCCGTCAGATAACCTCATTTTGAGTCTTGTCCTTTAGAGAACTTCCAAGCATAGCTCAGAATCACACAAAGTATTAGTATACATTCAAATTAGCAAAACGACATCTACCAATATCAAAAATACCGTTATTAAAATCGATAGTCAAAAATTTTGAGATGTACCGAAAGCACTATCGTGCTTTTTCGGATGTTTTTGGCGCAATATCACAAATTAATATCCGCTATTGGAATCATGCGTATTTGTAGGAAATAGTCGTTTTCCAGCTCGTTAAACTCAGACGCAATGAAAAATCTATCATAATAAATTTTCAGCGTTTTTACATTCCGGGCTTTAAAGCTTTTTTTTTGGGATTCCAGCAAATTTCATGGATTATTACGTTTGTTTATTCACTCGCAGATGCTACGTAAGCGTTTACAAACAGAATATATAATCATCAACGCATTTTACATCCCTTTGCTGGCAGTCCATAGCCGGCCACACTGACGCAATGCGTGTTGGGGACTATAGACTATAGAGCGCATATGTCACATGTGCGGGCGTGGAAAGGGTCAGTCAGTGTT